AAGGACGTCATAATGACGTCAATTACGTTATTCTGTCAATCATGTTATTCCTAAAAGTTGGAAATGATAAATACATTATTATGTGCAATTGTGTTGGCTGTAATATGAGTGGTTTTGCAGTTTTAAGGGGCCCCTCCGAAACCCGGTTTAATATTAATTCACCCTGAGGGTTAAGTGTTGTCACTACAAAATCGGACGCAACGTCGTCAGGTTGCATTGCAAAAACCAAGAGTGATTTTATGTAAAAATAACGACATCAAATGACCGAGAAGGGTTTTAAGGTCTTGAAGATAGGAGAAAATCCTTACAGTTTTACTTATTTTGTATTTGATAGAATCATTTATTGGACTGATTGGGGTTACCACCCAAAGATTGAAAGGGCGGACATGTCAGGAAAGCAGCGGGTTGCTCTCGTAAACTCAGGTCTGTCGTGGCCAAATGGTCTAACGCTTGACAAAGACGAAAACCGCTTGTATTGGGTAGATGTCAGTTTTAACAAGCTCGAATACTTATACCTGAGTAGGAACATCAGGATGACCTTAATATCTTCTTCAGCCACCCTGCCTCATCCTTTCGGGTTAACACTTCTTGGAGATTACTTGTACTGGACTGACTGGAGAAATTACGCTGTTTATAGAGCCAACAAAAACAGTGCAGATGTCAGTGTATTTGTCACAGGTATTGGGAAGCCTACGGACATACAGGGATACAATCTCAGTGAAAAAACCACACCAGGTGAGGAGAAGGCGTTTTCTGCAAAAAAAAAAATGTTTGTGTTGTTGATAGTTTCTTGTAGTGGAATTTTCAGGGCAAAAAAAAGTGGCAGCGATAATGACTCAGATGTTGGCAAATGTTTGAGAAAATGTGTTTCACCGCTGTTTATGAAGTATAAAAAGACGGAAACGAGATAAATTACATTAGAAGCAGATAGGTGATCCTTTTGATTCGCGATCAGAATCAAAGCCTTTGATTTGCTAAACATCCTGCAGAGAACTTAGACATTTTTGGGGGCAAATAAATAAACTGAAACTAATATAACATTGCGATAACATGACAAGAATAGATTCATATCGCATTTTTTAAATAGGCTTTATTAATATTTTAAACGCCATAACACTTTATTCGTTCAAACGCTAATTCGGCACCACTGCAGTTTACCAGTGCCATTCCTTGGACACTAATTATGAATACTGAATTTGACTTCTCATTTATCTTCACGTTTAGACATTTACTTTCCACGACTTACCCGCAAATTATTGGCTCATTGCGTGCTTTTACTATTGAGAGGGCATGTTTTAAGTAATGGTTCAATTCTTCTTGCTTTTATTTATGTGTCTTGCTCTATCAATTTACAGTCACAGACCAGTGCAAATACAATAATGGCGGATGTAGTCAACTTTGTTTGCTTACATCATCTGGAAGAGCGTGCACTTGTTCAGAAGGCCTTATACTAGATGATGACGGAATAACTTGTAAAGGTATGATGAATTACGACCAGGGAGGCATGACTTTTTCTGTGAGGAATTTCAAGAACAAAACAACTTCCACCAGCCTCCCACTCTTCTAGGAAAGAGACCCAGCCATCGATCAGTGGAGACTTACAATCACAATAAATTGATTCCAAAACCGACCACGCACTGATTCTTTCATCCTTTTAAATGCTAGATGATATGATGTCACTTAAACCTAAAGAAGATAAAGCGAGACTGCCGATAAAAAGATGCCTCATGTGTCCCACGTACAATAGCATTGAATATGTCATCGTTCGGCAGTCTGGTTAATTATGGCATTCCTTGATGAGGTTTATTAATCAAAGCTCCAATTGATTAATTACTTTCGATATAAAATCAAATTCTATTTATATTAATATATTCGAAAGCGTCTCATTTCCAATCAAATTTTAAATTCCTGTCTGAAAAAAAAATCAATTCATATCTCTTTAATACAAAGAGTTAATTAGACCCTACCAATCAAAACAGTTGAAAAGCAGACGTAAAACACTGGCCTCCACCTTTATGAAATCAATTTCTTTTTCCCGATCTCTTTTATTCAAAGGTCCTTCTGAGCATGAGTTTCTCCTGTTTGCTGATTATTCATACGGAAAGATTATGAAAGTTTCTCCTCATGCTCCTGGATCACTCACCGCTTTACCCTTGTCAAGCAGCATCAAACGCCCGATGGCCATTGGCTACGACGTTTTAGAGGATAGAGTATACTGGACAGATGTGACAAGGAAGACCATTTCTCGTTCATTCATGAATGGCTCTATGTTTGAGGTACTGTTTCACCAAAACGTCGAGATACCAGGTGGCTTGGCTGTGGACATTGTAGGAGGGAATCTCTACTGGACCGATACAGGAAGTGACAAGCTGGAAGTATCCAAACTAGACGGTTCCTATCGTAGAGCTCTCATAACAAGTGGTCTAGACGAACCGAGGGATATTATACTGGATGTTAGTAAGGGGTCAGTAGTTTAAGTGGATATAAAAAGCAACAAAAC